TTTTTTCCCATTCCAAAGTTTTGTGTTTTATTTTCAATTGTGAAACTAATTTGAGTTTGACAGGTGTCTTTTAAGCTGATTCTTGCCATTAGATGGTAGCGATGTTAGGGATAAGTATAATGCGTACGAAGATTAAGACGCAACATTGTCTGGTCTTGTTTCTCTTCCCGGACGGATTCCGTGCCGTCGTCCTCGCGTTTTCCGCACCCACGCCAGCTCAGCCGAGGTTTCAAGGCTTCCCTGCGCGATCGCCTTCATAAAGAGGTACAGTTTTCATTCTCACCGCTGCCAACAATAATCACAAGAAAGCATCGCTCAATATCGCACATTGTGTGTATTTATCGACACTCCCACTTGTAACGCATTAATTCAAAACGAAGGGCTTGCTCATATCATCCGTACACATCGCTGCGTTAATTAGTTCTCATCCGGTTGAATGAGTTTCCCATCCTAATAGACGCGACAGGCGTAAAAAGGGTGGAAAGCGACCTGCGGCGTCTTTCTTCAAGGATACACCTGATGTATTTTACACTTGTTCGCATTACAATGGTTTCCCAACGTACAATGCGCTTTTCTCTTTTTACTTTTTATTTGTCGCACCGGTTTTGTCACCGTTTGCAGACAGCGCTTCTGTTTTTTTCACGATTTCCGTATTTGATGTGATCTAGTTTCTTCATTATAACGGTTATGAAAATATAACGTTGCCCTGAATTGGAATAATAATAATCCAAATTTACATGATTAAAATTTAGATTATTTTAGATTCCCATATAAAGAACTTGCTAACAGAATATTTGCTAACCATATATGCTATGACTCATTTGTACGATTTGGAGACGACTTAAGGACTTCTCGGCTGTGCGAGTGGGGGACTTCCTGTCTCAGTTCCGTCGGAAAAGGAAGCGCCGAAACCTACGCGGTAATTCGAAGTCGAAGTCGAACAGACCGAATTTATCATAATTTTTAATTCTCCTTATATATTGGCCGTTGATATTTCATGATATGCTCCAAATAGCGCATCAAATGATCGATTACGAAATATCATTCAGAGGAAGCACGTCTCTTTGAGGTAAAAACGGTGCTGTTATCCGAGATGAAAAAGGCCGTATCTTCCAGCTGCCGGCACGTGATCGATGTATACACCTGACCCGATCTTCCCTTCGGATTTAGCTGCGCGATTGGTAGAGCGAAAGTATAAGACACCAACACGTGCCATCCCTGCATCGGGACACAGCTGTTTCATGATCCGCGTGATGCAGATGTACGCTCGGCGGTGTCAATTAAAGAGAATTAACTGGAATTTAGCGACCCTCGGCTATTTGCTTACCAATTATCTCATTTTTGCCAATTTTATGTCATCTTAATCTCAGTTGTATCTCCGCGTTCCTCTATCTCGATCGAGGTAGATTGGAGCGATGCGATTTTCACGAGATCTCTCATCTTCGCGTTTTTTTTTTTTTTTTTTTTTTGTTGTGACCAACCAAGTCAGATCCGATCGCATCTACAAAGTAAGGCTCTTCTTCAGTAAGTACAGACAGGAGTGCCCGACAGGATCCCGTGATGTCACAAGT